TGCGCCGCCGGAGCCCGGGAGGGGAAGTGCCCGGCCAGCGGCTGGGGTCCAGAGGCAAGGGGGCTGCCTGAAGCCCATAGAGCTCGGGCAGCCCGGCTCTTAAACAGAGCCGAAGAGTCAGGGGAGGAGCAGAGCCGCCGCGGGAGGGGAAGTGCCCGGCCCGCATTTTCCCGGACATGTTCGGCTTTTTGGCAATTCCCCCCGGACGGGGGTTTGATTGCCGAAAAGCCGGACATGTCCGGGAAAAACCGGATGTATGGTAACCCTAGGGGAGTGGCTCCTCCCCCCTGGGTCTGTGGGTGGCCAATCTGCCCCACTACGTCTCCGGGGCCGCCTGACACGGGGAATAAGCGGGGTGACGGGAGACGTGAGCTCGGGCCTGTGATCAGGGCTGAACAACAAACAGTTACGGAGCCCCAGCCCCTGGTTGGGGTGGGGCAGCAAAGAGTCTCTGGCTCAGGCCTGCACTCAGGCTAGGCAGCAAACAGTCGGGCCTCCTAGCTCTGGTGGGGGGCCGACAAGCACAGGCATCTTGCCTAAGGGAGGGGGAGGCTGCCACCCATGGCTTGGGGTGGCGGGGGGACGCAGGCGCACCCACTCCACTGTGTCCCGGCCCAGGGCCCTAGCAGTGGCACAGCAGTCTGCCTGTGGGTCAGCAGGGATCCCGATCGCAACGTGCTGACTCACTCGCTGGCAGCGTTGCAGCCAGACAGGGGTTGGCTACCCCTGGGCCACTTCCCAGGTCCCCCTCAGGGTGTACCTGGCTCTGGAGAGGGTTGTCCTGGTCATTGGGGAAGAAGGCCTCTGTCAGCGCTTGCAGCTCCTCCCTGCTTGGGTCTGTAAATGGCCCTGGCCAGTCCTCGGCTCCCTCAGGGTCTGCAGCAGCCTCCAAGCTCGGAGCTCACAGGAGGCGTCTGGCTCCTCCGGCGCCTGCCTCCCAGCTGAGTTCTCCAGCCCGCCTTTTGTACGTCCGCTCTCCTGTATGTGCCAGCTACAAGGGCTTGCTGCCCACCAAAGGCCTGGCAAGGAGGGGACGCTCTGGATGGGGTAGTCCAGAGCACTCAGCGCCAGCCTAGCTCTGCTCCCGTGGCGGGCGGGAGGGAAGGCACCGTTCTGTTGACCTGAGTGGGAGCAGGAGGCCAGTGCTGAGCACATCTGCATAGGCCACCCAGTGTCTGAGAAATGCCACGAGCCCCCCAGGACCCGTGGCCTGTACCCGTAGAGCTGGGCAGCTCGCCAGCCCTGGAGACTGGAATTCCAGGTACCCGGTCCAGACCACACCCCCCACCGACGTGCCTCATGCGAAGGTGCAAATCCTGGAACAGCCCCAGCTGAAAGCACAATGCTGCTTAATCATGGGAATAAGGGCAGCCTTGTAATGTACAATCAAAGGGGAAGCACATTCCCCTAAACTATATATGCTGCACCCCTTCTGCGGGGCAGTAACTCGTCGCACACCCTCTGGCGTACCCCTGCTATTGTATGTAGCTGGGGGCGTTAGCCTCTTAGAA